TCTAATCCTCCCCTTAGGTATATTTCTGTTCAGATTTCATGTCTTACTATACTATGACGTTTTTTTGACGTTTTTATGCCTTACTATACCATGACTTTTTATGCCTTTCCATAATATTATGTTTTTTTTCCTTACTATACTATGTTGTCCAATAACTCAACCACTGAGATTCTTTCTTTTCTTTCCCTCTCTGCCCACGGAGCAGCTCCTCTTCCGACAGGTCACCTGTTGCTGGTGGATCCTGCCGAAGAGCTGGTCCTGCTTCATCCTCAGCTCCATGTTCACCTGCTCCTGGTGGAGGAGTCGAGCGCTCGCAGCATCCAGGTCGTTCTGCAGCTTCCTCTCCCTCTCTCTGGCCATCAAGAACTCCCTGTCAAGCACTGCTGCAGCCACACAAGACATCACACCAAAGTCAGGTCAGGCAGCTAAACCACAGCTGTGAGTGAACAGAAGATCCAGGCCATTTGGACATGTTAATGTAAAGCAAGATTTTTACTGTTTACAGCTTTTTTTCCCATCCTTTTGAACATAAACGTCAAAAGACCAGAGCTTGACCTTATGGAACCAAGTGTGCAGACCTTTCCTTTCTCCTCTCTCCAAATTTACAATCCACGGTATAAAGTAACCTTTATTTACTGCTGAAACTAAGCTATTACCACAGTATCACTCCTTTAACTACTACAGGCTACCAGAAAGCTAAAATTAAAGTGTGGTTCAGTAGGTGGGCAGTGCTAGTTACTTGCCAGAGTAAAGAGGGAGAGGGATTTTGTTATAATAGAAATCTAACAGCTGACACAGGAAAACAGGATTGGGACTTTGAAAACATTTTGTATTTCATTGAGTCTGTAAATATAGGTTTATATACCATCTGGAAAACTAGCCTCTCATTTCTGTTAGACCTCTTCCCTGCAGGTATCATTCATCATCCATGTCAAGCACATACAGTAGATTGACTCTTTCAGTATCATTTCAACTCCCACTGTTCATTAACAGAGGTCGACAAAGGTCACAGATTTCTAATTTGTTCCAACCCTCTCATTATATCACTAAATACAATGTTATCCTGCAAAGGTGTTCATTAAAAAGACATTTATGATAAATACAGGTTTAATTTGCAGCTCTTCAAAGAGCCCTGATGACTAACAACAGTTGTATCATGACTGTTGCATTCAGCTGATGAGATGAGTCTGTGTGGTTGTTACAAATTGCCATCATCAAATTAAATCCACTGCAGCCATTACAACTTATGTTTGAATAATAAATTACAAAAGGCTCACTTATCCTGAGGATGTATGGAATCATGGTTTGGCTAAAAGTCAATGTGAATGGAGTCTTTTAAACATAGTAACACATTTGAGGTTATATTTGTTAAAACATGTTTCAGAGGTACATATCACTGAACTATCACACTGGATTTACAGGGAAGAATTAATTATAAAAAGTAATTAAAGGGTTGATTCAGCCGACATATTCTGCAAACTACCGTACATATAACACAATGGGAAGTCCAGAAAAAGAAAAAAACACTGATCACTTTGGACAAACTAATACAAGTTTCTTTTTTTTAAAGCCAAAGCTGAAATATTTATGAAACAGATCAGTCTCCAGGGGAAACATCTGTCATAGATATTTTATCTGATGCTGAGGGAAGAAGAATCAACCTCAGACTTGATCATTTCTTAAGATTAAATAAAGGAAATAATTGTGACTGTACTTCTGTCCCGGACGTCATGTTACAGTTGTCATCACAAAAATAAAAACAACAACATTTGCTAAGGTCATTGTCACCGTGGTGTACTGTAGTTTTTATGGGATTATTCTGTGTTACTTGGTTTTACTGTCTATGAGGCACATTTTCACTTTGAAGTAATGACCTTTGAACCAGGTAAACTGTTTACTCCTGAGCATGTGCACAAACACTTTAATGTTACTACTGAAGCACAAAGCCTCAACCTCTTCAGGCAGTTATGGTATTTTCTGCAAGCGGATCATTTTATGTCACAAAACTAGTTTTAAACATTAAACTAACAAAGTCAAAAATCTAGTAAATATACTTTTATATACGACAGTACTATGCGTGTTAAATTACACAGTAGATTACATTAAACTTGTACTGCATTTTACAAAAGCTGGAGGTTTTCTAACCCTGTCACTTTTGATAATCATCTTTATGAGAGTGTAACTGGGTCTGGGATTTTCCTAATTAAACATTAAATTAAGTTAATTATTGGTGCCTCAAGTGCAATAAATAAAATAGTGAATTAGAGGAGGCATGCACTCAGTTGGTAATTTATTAGGGATACATGTCTAAAACTAATGTAGTGTAATCCAACAGTTCTACAGTAAATCCTCCCTTCATGTTCACATTTTGTTAAAGGTGTTGATTTACCTTTACGATAATTATGGAGGATGTAGTTTGTGGTGCCAGTGAATTGTGTTAATACACATCACAAATCAACAGCACCACAAACTACATCCCATGTATTAGTTTTAGTCAGGTGTTCCTAATAAACTCACACTTGAGTGTAGACAGCATGAACAGTGGCAGTTGAAGCAGTACACTGCAGCACTTGCTCTTCCCTAAATTGTAAATGTGTAACTTTATTCTCAGTGGTTAAAGTCTTGACCTTTATCACTTACCTTTGTCATGAGCCATGCGGGTGCACTTGGCCGTCAGATACTGGATCTGACTGTAGTCCTCGTCCCGGTGCGCTCGGAAAAACCGCCTCATGCTCATCTCTTCCTTAGCTGCTCTCTCCTTTCTAAAACTTCTTCCCCCTTCCCTTGATCCTTAGCTCCTAAGGGCAGGGTGGGTGTGTCCCATATGGTCAGATAAGACATGGCATGCACATTTCCTGCAATATTGAACTCCCCCCCCCGTGCAAAGAAGTCAGGGGACAAGTTTAAGCATTAATCCAAGCTGCTGTTTCCATAACAAAGAGGCGAGGTGAGCTGCTTGTGTGTGTGTGTGTGTGTGTGTGTGTGTGTGTGTGTGTGTGTGTGTGTGTGTGTGTGTGTGTGTTGTGTTGCCATCTGGCCCGCTGCTTGAATAAATAGGAAAATTATGATTTGTTTCATGCACTATTTGATGGCTTGATCTGACATTACATCTGTGCTAAAGGGCAGCGAGTGCTGCAGGAGAGAGCAGAGGCAAGTCGGGCATGTTGTGTCTAGCAGGCAGGCGGATTTATAGCAGCAGCCTCAGGTTGGTACTTTTATTATATACAGTAGGATTGCATAAGACATTTTACAGAGGAAAACAACCACTGGCATGTAATGAATCTTGAATTGAATGTCTCAGGTGTTTGTGCTTTAGTAGTTCATGTGTTGATTATAGTCTGAATGTGTTTGCAGAAAACTAACTCTGAAACATGGACCCTGTGACTGTCTGTCATCATGTGTGCTGTGATCCAGATCCCGATCAAAACCTTTTGAAAATGCTCAATGACCAGAAAGTGCCAACTCAAAAAGACAGCTTCAGTGGAGGATAAGTGTTTGTTGAGTGTTTACTAGTCTTTTACTTTTTTAATAAGTCAGTATTGTTGAGTTTGTTAAGGAATTCTTCTTCTAAGGATAATGATCCTGTAGTGATGCAGATTAAACCAATTTGAACATTTTCTATAATTTGCAAATAACAAACCAAGAGGACTGTGCAGGCTTGGTGGTGATACAAATGTTTTCTAGTCTTTACACTTAATCATTTATTCAGATTTTTCTTTATCATTATCATTATTTAGAATGTGTGATAGGTCAGTCCGATTTAAAGACTTCCAAACACTTAATGAAGTTCATCAGTGCAGCTTAATAATAGAAACAAATAACAAACTTAAAAAGAAATGCACTGAAGGCTACTGTAAGTATTTATTCAAGATGAAGTGATACTGAATACCAGTTATGGTGAAGAAGAAGCCACACAGAGGGCGGAGGATGTTACTTTTAAAAATTGTGTGAAGTTGGTGACGAATATGTCTATGAAGATGACACCGTCCTCTCACATATATCTTCTTCTTTTGTCTTCTCATACTTTATTTTTAGAGCTCAAAACTGCAAAGTCAAGGAAAGGTGTTGGAGTCTGTATTTCAGCTGTGGATTGCACTTTACCTGCAGCTGTCATATTTCCTGCCAGCAGAGGGAGACAAGGCAAAGGTGTTCTTCTAATCTCCTGCTCCTTTCTTACTTTACGTTGTAGAGTTTTCATCAAATGTGTCAGTTCATTAATGTTTTTCTGTAAATTAATTTACCTACCAGATGTTTTTTTTTTTTCATTTGTGTTGTTTACATCGCCATCATTTAATATCTACTGTAAAGTATATAACTCCTACAATACATACTGCCATAAAACAGTTCTCACAGTTTGTTCTTTTTCTTTCAGGGATGAAATTCAGAGGTGATTAAACAGCGGATTTGTGGCGTTTATTTACAGGAAATGAAAGTCACATTTCTTTTTATTTTTTAAACTGCTAACAACAGTGAGTACATGGCAAAAAAAAAAAATACAGGATACTGGCTACTGAAATATCACCATCCATATTAACACATGAGGCTGGTATCCAGGGACTTTGCCCAAAGAAACAAATATCAGTAACTTCCTGCCAGTAAAAGTGGAAACTAAAAAATAGGGTTTAATATAATAGAAACCACAAGGATTATGACTTTAAAAATACTATTTTAAATTAGACTAAAACCTCCACTATAACTGAAGTGTCAGTTCATTCACTTTAAGCTGACTTCCCTTCAATAAAAGACTTCCGATTGTTTAAAATGCTGTCTCCCTCCTCGACACAAAGAGATATTTTGACTCTGTTTTTCTGTCTAGAAAAGATTCACCTGAGGGCACTGAGTGCTGCTCGACAACAACACAAACTAACTAGGCCAAGGCAGATGATATCAGTGAATCTTATTTCCTGTGAAGCCTTGTAAAATGAGTGGGGGACTGAAGAGTATCTGATGCTCCCCAGCAGAGTGAATGCATTTGTAGTGAACAGTCAAAGGAGAGGATGTTCAAAAATGGCGTTTATTTAAAAAAAGAAAACCCACGATGCTGACTTCTGCCTCGTTAACACAAAGTTGTAGATAGAAAATGGCGTTGGACATTGACACCAACCGTCACATAAAATAAATAAATACAATATCATCCCCCTCCTCCTCCTCCTCCAAAAAACAAAATGTAACATACGTCTTAAAACAGAAACAGAGAGGTACCCATCCCACAGCTACACACCAGGCTCTGTCACATCAGGGAGTTAACAGCAGAAAACAGAAAGTCAAGAGAAATTTTGACAAATTTAGCTGAAAATCCATACAGACGTTCACGCCTCAGGAACACAATGTGGAGTCACCCTGCTCGTCAAACCACAGTCAGGCCTTCCGACGACCACCAGAGGGCAAATCCACTGTTAAAAGCATTTTCTTTAGATTCAAAGTGGTGTCACATAATAACATGCACAGATCATGTCAGTAGTTTTCAACATTAGGTATTTTTTTGTTTTCTTTTTACATATGTTTTCAACAGAAAGTGAAAAGCAGCCATCACTGTGGTGCTTTTAATACAATCAGTGCCTTCACTGAGGTTGTGATCTCTGGAAGAGTCAGGTACAGGTGGAGTGTTGAAGCCAGTTTGTAGCGTTGTCCGTTCATATTCTGAACCACGGGTTCCTTCATCAGATTTCTATAGCTTTTCTCCTTTTGAAAGACTTTCTAATTTATGCAGGAAATACTGTAACATTTGTGTTGGACATTAGTCGTGCACTTTTTTGTTAAAGTTCACTTGAAAGGAATAGTATGAGATTTTGGCAAAAACGTTAATTCGTTTTTGCCTTTTTCTGAGAGTTAGATGAGAAGACAGATGTTGGTGCTGGAGCCAGGAGGCGATTAGCTTAGCATAAAGACTGGTAGCAGGGAAAAACTAAAAGTCTTACTCACTTCGAAGTAAAAAAAAAAAAACATCTACCAACATCTCTAAACGCCACCATTTAACAAGTAACTTCATTTAAAACATACACAAACAGAAATATAGAGTTTGTTGTTTTAGAAGGAGTTATGTGTTTTAACTTCTTGAAAAACAACAGTTTATCCAGAACTTTATAGTTAAAGTATTTAACTCCCGTTAAACCACAAAATGCTGTTTTTACATTTCGGTCTGTGTCCGTATTCAACAAATGAGATAAATATTGTTAATTAGTGAACTTTAGAGGTGTTGGTAGGAATACTGACAAACTGACAGAGCCAGGCTAGATGTTTCCCCCTGTTTGTGTGTTTATGCTAATGTAAGCTAATCGCCTTCTCGCTCTAGCTCCATATGTAATGTGTAGACATCTACCTCTCAGCTACTGTATTTACCAAACTGGTGAAATATTCCTTTCAAGCAAGATTTATTAAACGCATGTTTGGTTTTAATATCAATAAAAAAGGGGTTGAAAATAAAAATGTTACTGTTAGTGTGGGACAAAATGTGTGAATACTATGAGCTTCAGAGTTTGCCTTTTTCACAATACATAACTTCCATTGGAAATCTGCTGTGTATGGAAATCCATGGTAGAAAATACCTTCAAGGCAAATACATAATGACTATAAAGCTACAATAATTAGTCACTGAACTGATCAAAAAAAATTAATAATTTAAGACTTTTTTCAAGCAACATTTTCAAAAATTTGACTTCCATTTTCCATGGGACAATTGGCTGCTTTTCTTGGTCCTAACTTAAACATTTTGGGGGCTGGACTGATGTTTCTGATATTTTATGGACCACATGATCAATCAATAAATCGAAAAAGAAATAACTGGCAGATTAGTCAATGATGAACGTAATCATTAGCTGCAGCCCTAAATGACTAAAACCTTTTACTCTTGAAATGATGGGACAAAATTAAATGTAAAAACATAATTCAAGAAAAAAGAAATTCTAACTTTTATCTTCCAGAGAGCACATTTTCAAACAGCGCCATCCACAGGAAAAAATAACAACAAAATCAACATGTAACAGGAAATGTTCGACACTCCACTCTCCATCCAACACACCAGTGCTTAAACGAGGCAGCAGATGCTTAACTCCTTGTTTAGCTACAGCTAATGCAGTTAAACATAACAGACTGCTGATCCCAGAGCTGTAACAGATTACAATGACCAACATAAACATTTCCTTCACACAGGCTGGAAAACAAAGAAAAACGTCAACATTAAAAGAAAAAGAAATCATAAAACATAACTTGTGTTTTTATCCTGGAAATGCTGGTGTGAGGAAATGCGACAGCGTGTGTGTGTGTGTGTGTGTGTGTGTGTGTGTGTGTGTGTGTACCAAATTTGGACCCAATGTGCTTAATTAACACCAAGCATAGTGTCTGGATTCTTTTACATTGAAGGAGTCAGAACAAAGCAGTCACATTTAAAAGCTTAACGGCTGTTAGTGACTGACCAGGCGTTGTTTATAAGTAGCCCAGGTCTTACTGTAGCTTGGCTGCTGTCCTCAAGCTAATCCTACGCTAGCTGCCGGCTACTACAGGCTTTTCATGCTTTCTTGACCTGACGAGGCGAGCCTAACCCATACGTACAGTGAGGTAAGAGCTATCAGATGCTAAACAAAATGGTGAATAAGCAGCCTGCATCCAGTTGGCACCTGGGAAATCACAGAGTCAGTTTAATTTGATCTCTGCGGTGGTGGTCAAGGTGTTCGAATGAATCCTCTTGAGTTGAGGGAGGAAACAAACACTTCTGAAAATGACCTCCTTATTTTGTGTGATGAGAAACAGAAAGACAGATCCCACAGCTGGAGAGACAGCTGATTTAAATCACATTTACACATTAAAAGGGTTTGAAAGGTGTGTAAGGATGGTGGCAGTAACAGCCCAGTTCTTTCACAAACACACTGATCATCTAGATTTGTTTCACAGCTTAGTGATTACATTTCTAGTTTAGTTTTACATTAACGAAAAAGCTGACAACAACATCTGCACTCTATCAGCTGAATTTCTTACCCTTTAATGTGAGAACAGTTTCAAATCAATTGAAATGAAAATGGAGCTTTGTCATAAGAGGTGGTGAAATCTGAGCTCATACTGTGCAGATCTTCCATCAGTTTTCTGTTGATTTACTCTCAACTCGCTCAAATAGAAAAAGCTTCTTCACAGCATTCTCAGAGTAACTGGAAAAAAAGGAGGCCAGACAACCTTGACCGTGTCCTTTTGGTCAGATTAAATCTTCTTAGACATTCAATTGGATTTTTTTTTTTCAACATATTTTCACAGATAACACAAGCAGTTGTTCACCATCGCCTGGGTTACAACGCTTGAAATGAAAGCGGACACACGGATGGAGAAAACTCACAAACACAGAAGTCAGAGAGCAAAACTTCAAATGAGGAAAAAATCCAACTGAAAGTCAGCATTTTCCATCCCACTAGTGTCAGTTCAGTACAATGCAGGCGGTAAAAAAAGAAAAGAAAAACAAAGTATTGCACGGGTTTGGTGTGAGTCTATTGATGGGCGGTCATCATATAAATAACAACAACAAGAACCAAACAATAATACCATAATAATAATGCTAATAAAAACAGTTCAGACTAAGGTCTCCCACTCCCACCTCTGCTGTTTTACCACTGCTGCCAACTGAAGTCGTCGTTGGATCCGAAGACGAGGAAGAAGCCCAGGATGGTCCCGAAGATGACTACGTTACCCGTTAGCACAAGCGCACACGCCCCCCAGGCGATCTGTAAACCAACACATTAATAATTAATTTGTTCATTAATAATAATCAGGCTAAGCTCTAGTGGTGTCGACAACAACGGTTTAGAGAATCACAGTCTACATTTTTATATTGAGGGGAGGATAACAGGACGGGATGTTAACAGCAGCCACAGGTGATATACTCATTGTGTCCTGGGCTGCAGCTGGAGATCTGTCTTGTCTGTCAGCCCCTCTACACGGTAACAAGACATCATTTTTACAATTGCTGTATTTTTTTTTCTTCCTCTAAATGGTGGACCATTACAAATTACCACATCTGCTTGCTCCATTACAAACAGCCACAGTCTCCATTAATCTGCTGCTGGACTTTTGACTGTCTTTACATCCAGAACCAAACCTGCTGGGGAAGCTGTGTTAAGGCTATGGCTCAGAAAAGCTTTATTAACTATACTTTGTTTTTTTACATTCTCATTTATATTTATCTCGTTATCTAACTTCATTGTGCACTAGAGGTAAATGATGTATTTAGCAAAAAAGTATTTTAAAAATTATGTTAATTTTGTTTCCTGTCCTTACTATGTATGATGATCATACTGTAAAAGAGGGAAAACAGAAACAAGCTCAGACTCTGGCCTAATGAGGGAAAAACAACAGCCTAAGACATCTGGAGGAGAGTTTTAATTTGGATTGATACTGCAATTTACGAAATTTCTGGCAAAAAAAACATAATGTTCAAGTGAGTCAGAACATGAGTAGAGACAGTTAAATAACGGTTGTGTATGAACAGAATACTGAAAGTGAAAGTCACATTTGAAGTTTCACAAATCGAGCCAACACTTTATACTCACAGTGTTATGAAAAGTGACAGATTAAAATGTGACGTTCCATGTTCTTTATGTTATGAAAGTTGAATTCTTTTAAAATGTGTGATGATAATAATGGCCAGTACTTACTTTAATATTCCATCAAGTACCTTTACTTACTAAAAGTCTTATTTGTTTTCATTGTGACTTATGGTGCATTTACATTACTGCAAACCTGTGCACACAGCTATCTAGCGACATGTGTCTAGCGACATGTCCCTCAGTTTGGGACAACTACTCTACATCAGCACAAAACTAAGCTACTATGACTCACAACTTCAGCTCTTGCGAAGACAATGGGCAGGCCGAAGGCTGAAATGACTATGCCCGTCGTGAGGAAGATGGCCAGCTCTTTGCAGGCGTTACTGGCCGAGTCTGTGTCGTCAACCACCCTCCGCGAGATGCAGTAAGGGATGGGAGAGAGGATGTAGAAGAAGAGGAGGAACAAAGGCCAGTATTTGCTGCAGAGATGGAAAAAGAGAAAAAGATAAATACTCACATGTTGTGATGATAAAGTCTACTTAAGGATGAAGGAACAAACACTGTTCATTTCATGTGGACAAGCATGCATTATGCACATGTTACTTTTTGGCTGACACTTATACAGATACCAGCATATCTACAAAAAGCTAAAACTGTCCGATAATATCAGTCAGGCTGTACTAATAATTACGTATTGATTTTCTAAATGCCTTCCTTTTCTACGTTTTGCTGGTCTGAGGCTGTCATTTAGTATCCTGATAATGGCTGAGAGGAAAATGAGATTAGATTACAAGAACCAGATCTTTCGGCCGAGCTCGTTCCCCACATGCAGGGACTGAAAAACCTCGTCACAGCTGATTTGAATAAGCAAGTCAACTATATCCAACTATGCTTGAGTGGCATTGCATGCTGCAAATACACAAATGCAAAGTTAATGATGCTTCCTTTTTTTCTGTAATGTTAAGACTTGTTCATTTAGTTCATTTTATGTGATATCCAAATAAACTTAATATCATGCTCACTCTTTTTCTCTTCCTATCTCTTTCTCCCTCCAAACCCCTGATGCTGTTGGAGGGTCTGAGTTTTTTGTTTAAGTCCCTCAACAGTAGAAGAAAAAAAGATTTGGTTTTACTCTTACTTCACTGTGATGTTTGAGATTCACAGGTACTTAAGAGGGAAGGTCTCTCTGTGCTCACCTTAAATCTCTTACTGTGTGGAAACTTGAATCCTTCACTGCATATACACCAAGAATTGACTTTTCAGTGGAGTAGGAGATATCTTGTGTCCAACATATTTCCATATTCATAGATACTGGATTTTTGAATGAGGGAGAACAATGTGGAAAACCCATACCACACATAAAATGTGATTTGAGGCTGACTGTTTTTATATGTTCAAGAGGATATTTTAAAGTAGACTGTCCGCAAGTCCAGCCGTGCTTTTAAAGCTCTAAACCTGTGATGGGATCACCCAAAGTTCACCTCAGTGCCAAGTGTTAACAATGTCCTTCACAGAGGCACACACACAGACAGGCTCCTAGGTGTGTGATGGTGGTACTTACTCATACACAGGGAGGGCACATCCTAGCATGAGGAACATGAGGCCAATGGCCCCTCCAAAGGACAAGCTGATGAGAGCTGCAGGACAGACAGAGGGGAGGATCAGCATGGACAAAGCCACATACCCTCCGTGTGATACTGTGCATGTGTGGCCCCAAGACCCTCAACAGTCTCATCGCAGCAGCAGGGCCCCTGGCTACCGTGACTATCATGTGATGAATCAGCTGATTTCACGTATAACAGCTTTATCAGCAGTGTAAGCCGCGTTATTAGGGCTTCGCGTTAAACTCTGGAAGCAATACAGTCCATGTGGTTGTTTGTTAACAGCAATTTAATCCACTTGCAACAAGCACAGCATCTCAATCAGCAACTGAAGTTAATGTGCAGCTAGCGTTAGCATTGTAACGGTAACTACTACGTTGCTATACTACTAAAAAGGAATGACGTTAAACACGGTTTAATAATGCAACGTTACATGTTGCCTAGCAAACACATGTATTAAATTGTGTTGTTAAAGCAGGCTGGTCAAAAGAGTGCAGTTTAATCAGCTAGCTAATGCTAACGACTGTATTGGCCCTGCGGCTGTCTACTTCTACCATTAGCTCGCTGGACATTGAAAACGCGTCCATGTACATTCGGGATATTTTAACGCAGTTACACGAACTAAGCTCGGTTTTAGAGATCTTTTCTAAAGGACACAAAAGGTGGAAATTGCTAACCTTTAATCCCAGCCATTTCTCCTGGACAAAAGCTTGACACACAGCCTTGGTGAATGACAACAGTGCCCCCTCCCCGGCTCAGAGTCCGACTCTGAAACCACCAACAGCCACGCTGCCTTCACGTGCTACCACGAAAACAGGAATTACGAGATCTTCATACAGGCAGAACCAAATAAAAAAAATCGTTAATGTGAATTAGATCCGTGCGTGAAGTATAATTCTTCTCCAGTTGTTCGCGTTGTATAATGAAAAATGCCAACTTAAGGGGACTGGTAGTTTCATTTATAAATCTACCCGTAAAATGTATAAACTATTAATTTGTTTAGTTTAGTTTTTTATGTAAAATCGTAATTGCAAAATATAATAGGGATAGAGGATCAAGTACAATATTTACATCTAAAATATAGTTGAGCATACGTGTCAAATAAATTAATTAATTAATTAATTAAAAAAAACAAAAAAACAATTAAATTCAATTGACTTTTTTGGATTTTTGGAGTGAAAAGAACTAAATGCAACTCTTGCAGCAAGCAGAAATTAAAATATTAATGCACTTTTTATTTCATGAAATGTAAAAAAAAAAACAAAAAAAAACAGTAATAGTGGCATATACAAAAGTTTGGGCACCTTTCTACTTTACCCTTCTACTAAATCTTTCTACTTAATTACTCAGAATTTCATTAACTTGTTACGCTTTCATTGACAGATTAAGGTAAATGGTCTGGATAAACAATTATCACTGAGGCTGCATTGTACGAGGCCCAGATTTCTGTGCTCGGTCACTGGCACTCAGTAATTGCTCCAGCTCAATGAAGTTGCCTGCTACGCTTTTTTTAATTGGGCTGTGAAGGCATCATTTGTCTGCGTCACTGCTGAATTAAAAACAACACATATTTTCAAAATATTAACATTTTATTAACATTTGAACAACCTCGTAGATCATGACAGATCTTCAGTTTGTATTTTGATTATGTTAAAAATTTAATCTTGTTAACCCGGATGTGTACCTTCTTATTCCGCCGATCTGAGAGAATCCATTCAGCCAAGATGGCGAGCGGAGGGCTGTCCGTGGCTTCGCTGTGGACCGAAGTGAACCGCTGCGGACAGAATGGAGACTACACAAGAGCCCTGAAAGCTCTGACAAAAAGTAGGAAACTGTGTTTGTTAATGGTACTCTCAAATAGAGCCAGAGCTGTGGTCAAACAGCAGATGGACGGTGCTTTTCTTGGGGCTTCGATTAGCGGGGTCCACAGGGCCAGCTGTTAGCCTGTGACTAAGCTAGCGGCCGTTAGACAGCTGCTTGTCAGATGTCCCAAACGTCGACTAAGCTTTTTATACTAAATTACTGCTTATAACAGTGTACACAAGGGATGTAGCTACAAATCAAGCTGGTGTCTGATTGTTTTATGTGATTATAAAGAAATTACATTTGCCCCAGAAATGTGCCGTCCTCCTCTGACCACTGACGTGTCCCTAGCCTGACAGCTAACTTCTCATGGTTGGCAGCTGATCGGCTTTCAACCAGGTGTTCACACATCAGTAGAAACGCTTATACGGCTCATAATTATCGTTTTTAGACAGTTAAATCAGCGTGTGGGTTTAATGTTTCCGTTAATTTGACGACTCTGTACTTTATTACAGATACGACAGTAAAAGGAAATCTCCATGTCAATATGTCGCTCGTTTTTTTTTTTTTTTTGTTGCACCGCTTACTGAAGGGGTGTTAAACATAACGCTAACAGGTAGTTAAAGCTTCAACACTGTTTAATAGCCACTTTAAGATTTATGAAATCTTTATTCTACCTCTGACAACACAAAAAAGTGCACTTTTTATTGCTTTTTTCCCATGCAGACCAGCACTAGATCCAAAACCAGTATATTTTGCCCACATTTCTCCAGAGAGGCTAAAGATGGTTTAAAACTTAGTTTCAGAGTCTTTCTATTTGTTTGAACACAATAAAGAGCACTTTCAGATTTCCCACCGTCTAGATCACTTAAGACCAGGTCTAGATAAACAACTACTATGCATAGACTTGGGAAATCTGGACTAGATTAACACATGGAGTGCAAAGACCAATGAAAACGCAGTCTCAGGTTTCTGAAACCTTTTGTGAAAACAGAAAAGTGGTGATTTCTCAAAGTCAAAAAGTTTTTATTTCTGTTCACTTACTACCTTGTCAAGACTGTTGTGGCAAAACTATAAAGCAGTTAAAGTTTTTTGCTTTCATAATTAAAATAAAGGTTTTACAAATTACAAATGAAAATATTAAGGCTTTAAATTGGATGTCTAACACCCTTTCACAACAATAAGTGGTGCAAAAAACAGTATAGGTAACTTTAAGTTAGTCCTTAACTGCTGAATCGGAAGCTAACCTCAGTGTTGTCTGTTTTCAAATTGTGTGGTTTGATACTGATGGCTTTGCAATGTTTGTGTTTTCTCTTCTGTCACAGTTTTGCATGAAAACAGAGACGATGTGACGGCCCTTCACTGTAAAATAGTTTGCCTTGTTCAGAACGGCAGCTTCAAAGAGGCTCTGAATGTCATGAACACCCATTCAAAAGTGCTCGGCAGGTAAACGACACACTGCCTTTAACTTCTACCTGTACTGTCCGGTAAGCTGAAGCAAACAGCTGGGAAACTTCTTTTTGACAATTCATTGATGATGATTGACAATCTTGTACAGAAGCAGAGATACAGCTGTGATAACAGAGCTAAACAAAACTGTATGGAATTTTACTATTAAAATAACTGTTAATAATTGTTGCAAACACGAAATTAAACTGGAAACATGTTAAATATAAGTGACGATGAAGTGCTTTATAGACTAGAAACAAAATCATAATGTCAATGTTGTGATGAGCAGGTAGTTAGTAGAAATGTTTGAAAATCAGAGTGATATGATCAAATGATAAATGTCATGACATTTGACGCTGTTATCGACACTTAAACTGTTTCATATACAACTTTTGCGATGCTTGTTTCATGCTTTGCACATTAAACTCATATTATTTGGGATATGGCTTGTGGGTGACATTATTTCCACATTGAAATGATTTTTATTTTCTCTCTCTCAGTGAGGTTGTGTTTGAGAAGGCGTACTGCGAGTATCGGCTGAACAGAGTGGAAAGTGCCCTGAAGACCATTGAAGGTGCTCCTGAGCAGACGGACAAGCTGAAGGAGCTTTATGGTCAAGTGGTGAGGCTTTTCAACCATTAACCAAATTATAATATTACTGGATGCATTTGTTTGGTAGATTGTATATTTTTGAGACCGATTGGATGGACGGACAGTGTTCCCGCCCACCTCAATGTTGATTTAGAAGCATGAAGATATAGAAAATACAAAATCTCTACACTCTCAACAAGACCCTTTCTAATCACCGAAGCCTGTCGTGTTTAGCTCCCATTCTTCTGACAGAGCAGAGACCTCTGCTGACTAGATTTGTCATTTTCTAGTTGTACAGACTTGAGCGCTACGATGACTGCAAGTCCGTCTACACAGACCTGATCAGGAACTCTCAGGATGAGTACGAGGAGGAGAGGAAGACCAACCTGGCTGCTGTGGTGGCCGCAATGAGTCAATGGGAGAAGGCCCCGTTGGTAAACACTCTTCTCCGAAATTCACAGTTTAAGGCTTTTTGGGTGACATATAGTTACGTCTGTCTTTTAAACTGATGCTCTTCTGAAGCAAACTTAAGCTGACTGCAAAAGAATTAAAAATCCTTTACACTTATGTTTTCTTTCCCCGCTGCAGGAAGATCTTGGTCTTCCCGAGTCGACGTATGAGCTGTGTTACAATGCTGCCTGCGCTCTGATTGGCCAAGGACAGCTGACAGAGGCCTTTAATAAACTGCGACAAGCAGAGGGTCAGTCTCTGTCCTTCTCACTTTCCTTTCAAGTAATTTTTTTTTTTGTCCTTTTCTTGATTTGGTATTAACTGGTTGTTTTCTTCTTCAGAGCTTTGCAGAGTCTCACTGGCGGATGATTCTGTAAGTGTTCATTTTGTTTTTCCAAAACACTGAAGCATCATGAAGCAAGTCTCATCAATTTTTTCAGAAAGTATTAAATTGTAGATATAGAATAATGAGTTTGCATCCTTTACTTCCCAATGTATTCTCTCTAGTCCCTGGCTCTAAACTTTTCCTGGGATAATCACTGTCACTGCTGCTTTTGTTTCTTTGCAGGATGTAACTGAAGAAGACATCGAGTCGGAGCTGGCTGTCATCCATTCTCAGATGGCGTACGTCACGCAGTTACAAGGTCGGACAGATGAGGCGCTGCAGCTCTATAACCAGGTCATCAAGCTCAAGTAAGTCCAGGGTCCGCAAACATCAGGTTTTGTCCCAAAGCTGATGAAGGGAACATGACGCAGGTTGAAAGGATGTTGTCATATTACAGTTTGAATTTGTGTTGTGATGGCACTTAGGTACATTTCTGCAAGATATAAAAGAAAATTGTTTCGACAAGCGTTCAAAAGGCCATACACAAGTTTGTTTATCTGTAATTTTTTAAGTAATTGTTCTATTTTCAGGCCGTCAGATGTGGGGCTGCTTGCTGTGACTGCCAACAATATCATCACAATAAACAAGGTGGGTGGAAGGCAAGCTGACCAACTTTAGTGTTTAATTATTTAATTAGCAATGTGAATGAACAACAAACCTTATTGAATTTAGTCTTTGCCAAGTACCACCGAGCCAAATAAAACTTAACTCCAGCTGGAGCAAAGGATGATTTCATTAACGCTGTGTCTGTTCCTTCAGGACCAAAACGTGTTTGACTCCAAGAAAAAGGTGAAACTCACGAATGCTGAAGGTGTTGAATACAAGCTGGCCAAGAAACAGCTGCAGGCCATCGACTTCAACAAAGCTCTCCTGGCCATGTACACAAATCAGGTAAAAGCTATAACAAAAAAAACTGTTGTGATTCAGAGGAAGAAGCTGCAGAAATGGCTGATTTTCCCCAGAATCACTTGAGTTATTTTTACATTGCTGTTTATGATTAACAGGCGGACCAGTGCAGGAAACTGTCATCCAGTCTTCAGTCTCAGAACCCGGGTCACCCACGGCCGGTCCTCATCCAGGTTGCTCAGCTGTGCAGGGAGAAGCAGCACAGCAGAGCCATAGAGCTGCTCCAGGTACAAATGACAGACGCTGCCAGTGTTTGGTCTTTTTAAACAAGATTCTATAAAATGTGTTTTTTTTTTTTTAATGAAAAGTGATGCAGATAATGATGCATTCAGTGTGTGCATTCAGTCATTTATATTTTCAAGGACCATGCTATAACTATCTGTCCCTGTGTTTTCCAGCAATTCTCAGATCAACATCCAGAGAGTGCGTCTGGCATCAAACTGACAATGGCACAACTCTATTTAATACAAGGTACTGGCTCGTTTTTTTTTTTTTCTTTTTTGTTTTTTTACATGGATTGTTCAGACAGCCCCATCCTCTCTTAGCACAGAAAATGTTCCAGCTCCCTGTAGTAAACACATGACTGTCTCAGTCAAATGAAGACATATTTTACCTTTTTAACATTTAAAATGTTTTCACATAATCATCTTTGAGCTTAAAACCCATAAACAAGAATAAAGTACAACTTCTTAGTGTGTTGTAATTTTTAATTTTAATCATCTAAGTTACATCGTGGGCCTTTTTTGTTATTGTGTGTGGGGACTTAAAGGATGAAGAGTTTTGTTCTCTTGATCCTCAGGTCACGTAACAAAAGCCTGTGATGTCCTGAGGTCCATTGAAGAGTTCAAGCACAAATCGGGGATGGTGAGTCTGAAAAGAAAACATTGTCTTACTGGAGTTGTCCGCAACTGATTTTTGACCCGTTTGGTTACGACAGTGTTGTCTCTTTCCATGATGTTTGTTTATTTCTAGCTTAAGTTGTGTCACCTGACCTCAGCAGCTCGTGTTAATGTCGTACTCTAATAACTGTGCTGTGGCTTTGACTCCTCAGGTTTCAGCTCTGGTAACGATGTACTCCCACGAAGAAGACATCGACAGCGCCATTGATATTTTCAAACAAGCTATTGGGCACTACCAGTCTGAACAGGTTTGTGTCCAGTGTTTTTATTTATTTTTTTATTTCATAGCAGATTTAACGTGCAGCCGGACAACACAGGGTAGGAATCACATTTGTTTGAATAATTATATCATAAAGAATTATTACTGAACAATATTTGATTATAATAAGGAGTTATTCTAGCCCATACTGTTGCACTGGTTTTCCATCACACTTTCATACTTTGGCTGTGAAACTGGAATAAAATTGCTTCTTATGTGGTCTTAAATTTAACTTGGTGAACCCTGCACCAGCCTGAGTGCTGAATTTTATATTTCAGGGATGTTTTGAATGAACTGAAAAACAACTGGGTAGAATCTCAAAAATGAATCACAAAACATCCAGGGAGGAAACGGTGCGACATTGTATTTTATTGTCAAGCTATGATAATGCAGAGCAGAGCGAAGATGACGAGATATTTTTTTTTTTTTTTTTTAAATGAATCCTGCAGATCACCATGTTTAGTTAAAGCTGTGGGTAATAATGTGGTCTTGACAAAAGACAAGCAACACATAAATTAGTCTCTGATAACCTGAACATGTTTCACACTGTGTAATGTTCCTGTTCTTTTTCTCCTCCACAGCCCGGATCTGCTGCACACTTGGCTCTGGTACGAGAAGCTGCTAATTTCAAACTGAAGTATGGACGGAAAAAAGAAGCCATTAGTGATCTGGAGCAGCTGTGGAAGTGAGTTACAGTTCAACATGTGGGTGGGTGGGGGGGGTATCTGGGGTGAAAAAAAACATAATGTTTATCTCTGAGCTGCTGATTCTGCTTTTTGTTCACTCCTCTTGCCAGGACGATGTCGAGTAGCTCAAATATTTATCCCATTCTCAAACAGCTTGATCTTATCTCCTTTCTTCCTTTACAGCAATGAACCTTCTTTTTTCAATTTTATTTTTTCTTGAAAACAGGCAAAACACCAACGACATCCACACACTGGCACAACTCATCTCGGCGTACTCTCTGGTGGACACAGATAAAGCCAAATCGTATCCTTTCACCTACTGAAAAGGCTGAAATGGGAGACACGAGGCCGAGACATTAGCAGACTAATCAATGAGCTGATCACCAGAAAATGAACAGGCAACCCTTTTTTTATTCTCGATCAGGTGTTTAATGGCAAAGATTCTCCGACTGTCTCTCTGTTATATATGAACGTCTTTGTTGTTTTGAATTGACGGCCAGATGAAACAAGGAATATAAAGACACTACTTTGGGCTCTGAGAATATATATAAATATATATATATATATATTCCGCCATTTTTTTACATTGAATAGACAAAATGATCAGTTGATTGATTGAGACAATAACTGGCGGATTAATTGATAATGAAAATAAACATTCCTAATTATATTAATGCAAAAGAGCCAAGAAAGGGGAGCATGGCTGGAACAACTGGATAAGGGACCGCGTGTAAAATGCCACTGCTGAAATGGTTCCTTAGCATTTCCTCTCCAGCCTCAGCAAGCACCTCCCGTCAGCGGACACCATGTCTTTCAACGTGGACGTGGACGAGCTGGAGAACTCCCACGGAGCCACATACGTCAGGAAAAAAGCTGCTAAAGTCACGGGAGAAAATCTGCCCAAAGAACAAGGGTAAAACCTCCATTACTCTCAGCCTTACACACCTGCTTCATGATGCTCTGAGCACTTTCTAATTTTCAATAAACATCTTTAGTTGGAAGATTTACTGATCAGCTCTGGAAGAATGAGCCTAAGTGGGTACACGACTCCTTCATATTTACTTATGTCTGCGTTTCCTTTACAGCCAAGGAGAGATCAAGAAGAAGAAGAAGAAAAAGAAAGGTATGTCACATGCACCAGATCCCTTTTTACATAAATGTTGGTCTTTTATCCTTTTTGAGGTGATAAAATATTTCATGTTTAGAATTTAGGAGGTAGTTGTCTACCAGCTGAGCTGAGTGCTGCTTTTCACTGATGCCGCTTCATCTTCATTTTAGGCAAATTACCCAAGAACTATGACCCCAAAGCGACTCCTGACCCCGAGAGGTGGCTGCCCATGAGGGAGCGTACCTACTACAGAGGCAAGAAGAAGGGGAAGAAGAAGGAGCAGATAGGAAAAGGCACACAGGGAGCGACGGCAGGAGCTTCAGCCGAGCTGTGAGTAAACTCCACAGTCACATACTGTGTACATGTGCACGTCACCTGCGAGGAGAGCTGTCTGGGTGCAATTTCCTATAATTGAAACTTAGTAATCAGCACCTCCTAATAGAGGAAAAGCACCTGAGATTGTCCTCTTTGTTTCCTCGCCAATGAATCCTCAGTGGAGATCTCCAGCTGCTGCACAGAAGAAACAGCCGATGTTGTGGTGTGGCCAAAATCTAAATTATTCTCAGTCTCACCCGAAGGAGAAATCTGTCTGCTAACACTCTCTGGATTACTTCACCACCAGTCAATGTCAACTTTGCTGTTAAAATATAAAATATCAGTTTTCAAAATGTGCCTTTATTCGACTTTCAACAGAATCACACAAGGGGATTGTATTTTTTGGCTAAATACATTAGCTATTAGGCATAATGAGAATACTGATGAAACAGGTAAAATGTACATAAAAAAAAATCTAAAGGACCCCCCCCCCCCATTTTTTGGTGCTTTGAGAACAATCTTTGACAGGGTTTTGGTTCTCCCTCTGTTCCAGGGATGCCAGTAAGACAGCCAGTAGCCCCCCTACCTCCCCAAGACCAGGGTCTGCGTCCGGCTCATCTGCAGCCCCCAGCAGCAACGTGGTCCCCCCGCGACAGCAGAAACCCGCAGCCTCGGGGGCTACTCGCAAGAAGGCGCCACAGAAGAAGAAGAAGGGCGGGAAAGGAGGCTGGTAGTCTGGCCACAGGATCCACCGACTTCTGTGTGGCCGAGAAATCACCAGGAAATCATAAACTCTTTTTTTTGTTTTTTTTTTTTTGTTTTTTTTTATGTTTCAAGGTTAATTTTAATTTTGTTGTGGCCATTCATTTAAACATGTGAAACCAAAATCTCCCCTTTTGTGCTACAATTTTTAAAAGGCAGTTCCACTGAAATTAACCTTTTTGTTGCTCTTCAAAAGCAGATGTTTTTTATTTTTGGTTCAAGTTAAATGAACAAAAGAAAACTTTACTAAAGTCACTTAACTGCTTCCACAGGCAGGACATTTGCTTTTTATGTGTAATTACTTAGTGTTCAGAGATCAAATTAAATTTTACTCGTACTGTATAGCCCAGTATCACTAATCACTCATTTGCCTCAAGAGGGTTAACCATGTGCACAGCACTGCAGCACCCTCTGTCTTTAAACAGTCAAATCAGACAAGGAGAAACTCGCCCAGTTTTCCTGATGCATCGAGGAAAACTCTCAGGAGTTTCTTTCTCAGCTCGTACACGGTGAAGATCTTCACTCGTCTGGTTCAGTTGCTCTTGAAGTTCTTCGCTGGAGTTCTGGAAACTTAACTGTCAGCCAGCTTCTCCTCCAGATCCTGCATCAGCTGCTGCATCTCATTCAGTTTTTCTACCTGTGACTAATAGCTGTTAGGGAGCTCGAATTATATAGATATTGAGAATACTGCTGAAACACCCCCAGCTGTGCACTAATCTCCATAAGAGTACCATCCTGTTTGGATGTTTCTACAGCCTCCAACTGCTGATCCTCTCTCATCATCTCCACATGTTGCTGCAGGTCCGTCCTGTTCTAGTCTCCCTCTCTGCACTCTCCTCAAGCTGCTTCACCACCTTATCTGGAAGAGTCTGAAATGAGCTCCCTCTGTTTCTGCTGTCAGGTCTTTATTCAGATTGCCCACTGTTCCACCCACTCCATCACATTTCCTGGGGCTTTGTCGTCTCGCCGTCTTGAGCGGTGAGCTTGGCGTTCTCATCGAATACAGCATTCAGCTTTTTTTTTTTTTTTTTTTTTTTTGGAGATTGCACAGTCTGTGTTTTTTTTAATCATCAATAGCTACATGTATATTGGAAAATGCATTTTTGCATATTTTTGTATCAGAATCGCACACCGCTCTCCCCTTTTTAAAGTGTCGTCTTGTATATGTTAGTATAGTGTATGCAATGAGCCACTTTGCTGAACCTTTACATTTTTTATTTAGTAGTAAAGAAAGCGAATTTAATGTCATCTTTGGACTGAATTTATCTTGATACTGTTAAGTCAGTAATGTAAAAAAAAAAAACACTCATCAGTTAAAGGACATTTTGGGACAACAGCTGCTTTTGCAAAGTAACTTAAAGTTAATTTTTTTTTTTGAGAATTGCCTTTAATATTTCCTGGGTCTTGAGTATTTGGATGTCTGCACCATGTTTCTTTAAATTGTCCCTTTACTATCAGTAAGCTGATCATCAACCACTGGGCATTGGATGCAACGTTAAAGTATATTTATTTTTGAATCCCTGTGTTGGTCTAAATTCAAGCAAAAGAGAATTTTAATTCCTGAGTTTAATTCTGTCAGATGCATGTTTTAGGAAATGAGAAAGAAAGAGACTATTTTGGCCAAACAGGTGTCCCATTTTGTTAAGTCTTAATAAAACTCTTATCAACAGCGACTCAAGACTCCTGTGTTACTTGGAACAATATTTGATGCTCAATAATGTTGATGTTGCACTTGTTTAGTATCGAGCCCAATCTGCAGGAGACTGTAGGTTTTTACATATGAATCTTACCATTGTTCAGTTACAGTCTGATAAGACTATATTCCTCTGTGTTTAAACCTCTCTCAATATGGATCTGGCTTTCAAAATAAAATATAATTATTATTAAATTATAATTCTGAAAAGAAAAATGAAGTAATGCATTTCTGTATTTATCATATTACCAACTAAGAATTTTAGGTTAAACCTTACAGGCTGCCCATACTACAATAAGCAAGCTGCTTTCTACACCGTTGTAGTTTTCTGCTGTATGAAGATAATATAATGAACTATCCCTGTAAGTTATGACTGAATCTAATAGGATAGTGTTGAATTTGTGCACTGCCCTCATCAGCTGATTTTCAGTTTTCTGCAGCATGTGAAACAGTCTTCACAATTTTTCTGACAAATTAATCTGCTTTCATTAAACGGTTTAACGTTTACATAAATCATTTTAAAGCAATTTAACCCCAATGCCAGACAGTTTTTGAGTCATTTTGACTGACTGAGCATGAACCAATGTTTTCCCTTTACAGGATATTTAATCATGTGCACTAATTTTTTTTTTTCTAACTTGAGCCTGTGGGGACCTGTAGTAGCTTGTAGGTGAAAATGGTTTTTAAAAAAAAAAAATCATTGGCAGCTGCATTGATGAGTTTGCTTGAGTTAATTGCCATAATTAACCCCGCCGAGCTTCACCTGCCTTGATTCGGACTCCTGACAAGCAGTTTTGTCGGCTTTTGTCTCGGAGCTCTGAAGGTGTGTTTTGTGGACAGGATGCCTCGTCGGCCGCCCATTTACTCGGATTTCTACTACAATCCTCTGACAGAAGATGTGGAGGAACTGCTGGCTCGTTTCCAGCAGACTGAATCAGTGAGATACACTGTGTTTTCTGCTATTTGGAGGGAGATGGGCTTCTCAGATGTCTTCATAGGGATTTCACATGTGGGTGAGATGAAGAGATTCTGCAGGATAGCAATGGCCACGGCCATGAAGTACTTCCTGCCGCCATACAGCTACCAAATTAGAGTAGGAGGCTTGTATTTGATGTTTGGTTTTTACAACACACAACTTGCCATTTCACCTGTGAAGATTAGACTCGCTCTGAAGGACTGGAATCAAGTTCAGAAGTTTATAAAAGATTCTGTGCAAGCCGGGCATCACGATGTGCTTTATATCTATCATAAGCTTGTTGCAACCAAAGCCATGGACTACACCGCCATGCCACATTTCCTCACCTTCCAAAAGCAGAGGAAACCCAAGAAGGAATCTGTGTGCGCAGAGTTTCTGGGGAGGACTACAGCTGTGCAGGATCTCATCTCTTCAAACATCCTGGAGGAGGTGACCAATATGCAGAGCCAGTACGAGAAGCTGAAGGAGGCCACGGTGGAGGTCAGCTGCAAGGTCACCATGACCCACCGAGACTTTGTCTCCCGCATGAAAGGCTGCATGTCAGAGTTCATTACGTGGCAGCAGAGGGCTTTCTCACAAGATAACAAAGACAAGAACGCTGGAGACGATGAGGAGAAGCCGGCTGAAGATCAGCACAGCAGCAGCACCAGGGCCAGGCTTCTGTCCTCCATCAAGGACAAGAGCTACAGCAGCTTCCAAGAGGCGTCCAAGTCCCGGAGGCACCGCAAGGCTGAGACGGTGGACGCGACCAGCTCGGGAGCAGAGCTGGTCCAGGAGACTGCGACTGTTCGGAAAAAGAAGAGGCCTCCATCACTGAGAGCCCGGACCTGGAAGAGCCTCAGGGTGACGCAGGAGAAGAGCAAGCTCCAGGCCTGGCTCCTGAGTGTTCCTGAGAAGCAGGACAGGGTCCCTGTGAAGAGGGACAACCAGGTAGCACCCTTCAGACCATGATGGGAAGGGAGGGAGGAGGACTTTCAGGTTCAACATAGTTCACTTCATTTGGGAAAAGACATTTTAATTTGATGAACAGTTAGACTTGAGCTGAATTCTACTCATTATGTCTCTGTTTAGTCACTTAATTAATACCATTTAACTGGAACCCTTTCATTTGTAAATAAATGTACTGATCTGCTAATAAACTGTCTCTCATTCTTATTTATCACTGATTACTCACAGTTTCAAACCAAAAGATGGATCTGTTGTCTGCACTGAAAAGAGCAGCTCCACTGCTTGTGGTAAACTTACATGTTTGTTTTTTCCTTGGATTACACATACACAGATCTAAGTTTAAGAATCCAATAAAGCGAAACTGATAACCGGAGAATCACAAAAAACCTGTAGCTTTTTATAACACATTTGATACAAAAAAGATGCAACACATTCTACATCACAAATGATGAAATTTCACATAAGACATGCAAGATATAGGGACATTAAAAACAAAGCAATAAAAAAAAGGAATTTTTTAGCATGGGATTGTTAGAATATAGTAAAGGGTTCAAATCTAAAGTTTGATTTGAAAAGATGAGTTTTGACTTTTAAACGTTGTGAAATATAAACCAAACTACAATGTAAGTCAGTGTGGAAATATAAAGGTTACACCAGTGAATGTTGTAATAGGAGGGTAACTTCGTTTTTTGTCATGTGTAGAAAGAGATTAAAGAAGAAGACTGGGTTTGAAAGTTTTTCTTTTTGTGACTTCCTGAACTACGTTGTTATTGCGGCACCATGTTGCTTGTACGTTTTTACGTCTGTCTTTGACTTAAACTTGATATGAAAGATGAAATATTGTACCACAGAAAACCCCAGACTTCTGAGGTAATATGAGTATGTTAGGAATAATGGCGCCCCCTGGTGGCCAGACTGCAACACTGCATCAACAAAGAGCCGCACACTTCAGCCCGGAAATATCGTTTGAAGAAGTTCCTGAGCTTCCTGTATGTTAATCCACTTGTTGAAGAGAAGGGGAGAAAGAAGAGGTGGACTTAAAATTAAAGCTTCACCAAAAACGCACATAATGCCCGTCTAACAGGAACAGGGAAACCCGGCAGTCGAGCACTATGTTCGGTTTAAGAGAAGCCGGTGCCCTCGGCGCCTCCGTCGTTGTAGCCGGGGGAGTCGCTTATCTTATCTGGAACTACGCGTCCTCCTNTTTCAAACCAAAAGATGGATCTGTTGTCTGCACTGAAAAGAGCAGCTCCACTGCTTGTGGTAAACTTACATGTTTGTTTTTTCCTTGGATTACACATACACAGATCTAAGTTTAAGAATCCAATAAAGCGAAACTGATAACTGGAGAATCACAAAAAACCTGTAGCTTTGCATGCAAGTAGAGCTGCAAAAAACAATTATTCTATTTATTGGTTATTCACAAAGGTGACATCCTCAAATTACTTTTTTTGGGGGGTTTTTTGTTTGTTTTTTTCATGCAAATATTCACCAATAACCAATTTACAGACATAAACAAAGAAAAGTAGTTAATACTCTTTTCTTGTTTTGCCATTTTCTTTAAACAAGTCCCCAAATGTGTGTTGATATAACACATTTTATAAAAAAAAGATGCAACACATTGTACATCACAAATGATGACATTTCACATAAGACATGCAAGATATAGGACATTAAAAACAAAGCAATAAAAAAAGGAAATTTTTAGCATGGGATTGTTAGAATATAGTAAAGGGTTCAAATCTAAAGTTTGATTTGAAAAGATGAGTTTTGACTTTTAAACGTTGTGAAATATAAACCAAACTACAATGTAAGTCAGTGTGGAAATATAAAGGTTACACCAGTGAATGTTGTAATAGGAGGGTAACTTCGTTTTTTGTCATGTGTAGAAAGAGATTAAAGAAGAAGACTGGGTTTGAAAGTTTTTCTTTTTGTGACTTCCACCATGTTGCTTGTACGTTTTTACGTCTGTCTTTGACTTAAACTTGATATGAAAGATGAAATATTGTACCACAGAAAACCCCAGACTTCTGAGGTAATATGAGTATGTTAGGAATAATGGCGCCCCCTGGTGGCCAGACTGCAACACTGCATCAACAAAGAGCCGCACACTTCAGCCCGGAAATATCGTTTGAAGAAGTTCCTGAGCTTCCTGTATGTTAATCCACTTGTTGAAGAGAAGGGGAGAAAGAAGAGGTGGACTTAAAATTAAAGCTTCACCAAAAACGCACATAATGCCCGTCTAACAGGAACAGGGAAACCCGGCAGTCGAGCACTATGTTCGGTTTAAGAGAAGCCGGTGCCCTCGGCGCCTCCGTCGTTGTAGCCGGGGGAGTCGCTTATCTTATCTGGAACTACGCGTCCTCCTCCGGGGAGAAGAAGCCTGAACCTCGGCCTGGACAGGACGGTAGAAGTCCCAAAGAGGGGGGAGAAGGAAAGAAGGAGGAGAGGAAAGAGGAAGCTACAACCGAACAAACTGTTGTGGCCGCTGCTGCTGCGCCTGTTGTTGCTGCCACAGCCCCAAAAGAGGTAAAAATGCACCTTAACTGGACACTCCTGCAGGTGGAGAATGTGTGCGTTATTATCAAGCTATTTATTAAGACCACCAACCATGGACGGATGGTGACACAGCGGACCCCTGGGCCCCCACCCTTCCCACATAGGGAGCAAGACCCACACACTGAAACACACTCCCTGTCTTGTTTCTGCTTATTCTTGATGTTTTCCATCTGTTTGTGGTGCTTGTTTCCTTTTACTTGTTTTGTTTTTATACACGTGGCCACTGTGCATGTCTTTGTAGCCATTTTGTTTCAATCGCCATACTTGTTCTGTTAGTTATTTTTGCATCAATATTTAGTACTTTTAGTAATTTGTAGGTTTGTGTCTTTTTGCTTTATCTTGGAAAGGCAGGACATTACTGTGTGATAAATTAATAATAGTATTTCAATTCATAGCCAGATAACTATTAATATACGATATACAGTAGGGTCCAAAAGTCTGAGACCACTCCTCCATTCACTTTAATGTGAATGTCTTTTTTTATTATGATTTAACATAACAGAAACAACCCCTATATTTGGTTATTAGACAATTGTGAACAAGCTTTGTATTGAGCAGTTAAAAAAATACACTTCTTTCTTTCAAACCATACCCAACTCTTATCTGATGTGTGCTGTTCTCTCTGTGTGTGTGTGTGTGTGTGTGTGTGTGTGTGTGTGTGTGTGTGTGTGTGTGTGTGTGTGTGTGTGTGTGTGTGTGTGTGTGTGTGTGTGTGTGTGTGCGCAGCAGTCCAGGCATGTGGAGTCAGGGGGGACACAGGTTCTGGTTCTGGGTCTGGATGGAGCCGGTAAAACCAGTTTGCTGCACTGCTTGGCCACAGGCACCCTGGAGCAGGACATGGAGCCGACACAGGGCTTCAACGCCGTCTCCGTCAACAAAGAGGACCTGCACATCGAGTTCCTAGAAAGTGAGTCCGAGTCTCTTTATTCAACACCCGAGCCCGCTCACAGTAAAGAAAACAGAGATGATGGTGAATGTGACGGTCGTCTGTCTGTTGTCTGTTTTCTGCCTGTCAGTTGGAGGTAAAGAAGAGCTGCGGCCATACTGGCAGAGGTACATGTCCAAGGCTCTTCTGCTGGTGTTCGTGGTCGACTCCTCCGACCCACAGCTCTTCCCAGTCGCTAAGAAGCATCTACATGAGCTGCTGTCCTCTGACCCCTGCCTGCCTCTAATGGTGCTGGCCAACAAACAGGTGAGCATGACAGAAACACACTCCAGACTGTTTGCAACAAAAGCCTGTGGGACCCTTGTCCTTAAATAACCTGGTTCAGTTTATAATGAGAGACTTTTAATGCAGCTGCAGTTTGTGTTCAGATGGGCTGCAACTATTTTTATTATGGATTAGTGTACCGATAATGTTCTCGATTAATCATCAATGATAGATTAATGATAAATGTCCATCACAGTTTCCCAGGGTCTATGGTGACGTCTTCAGATGTCTTGTTTTGTCCAAAACTTCCAGAACCCAAATATATTCAGTTTGATGTGAATTTTTGTGTAAAAAAGAATAAAATACTGGTTGTCTTTCGTCATGGGACAGCCCAAAATCTCTCAGTGTATATTTCCCTTAAGTATATGATTCCTTGTGCAGAGCTGTGCAGAAGATTGGTCTTTTTGTGTGATTTGCTCTGCTAAAAAATGTTTTCCAAATCTGACAATTGGAGGTTTTCTGTCTGAGGTCGACTGTGCAGAATCATGTGTAGTGTTGCAATCCTCTCATATAAATGTGTTCTCATACTAAATACTTTATTTTGATATTTGTTTGGTTCATTAGAAATAAATTTTGTTCCTAATTTGAACTGCAGTCAACACTGTTTGTATTTTTTGATGTCGCCTCATGTTTTCCTCATGTCTCCAGGATCTTCCGGACGCCTGCAGCATCACTGACCTCCACGAAGCTCTGTCCCTGTCCGAGGTCGGAGACCGCAGGTTGTTCCTCATCGGTACCTACGTGAAGAAGGGAGAGGCGGAGCTGAGCTCAGGCGTTCAGGACGCCCGGGACCTGGTCATGGAGATGGTTTGTGAGGGCAAATAAAAACACTCACTCTGGTCACGGTCCGTTGGTGGTTGTCACTTAATCCTGTGCTTTTGATAAAGTTGAATAGTTTCTTTGCACTTTACTGTTTTCACTAAAGCAGGTTGGCTGAAACTCTTTTATTTATTTGTGAGAAAATTAAAACTTGGTGTTTTGGTATGTTACAGTTGGGATTACAGAACATACTTTTTTGTTTCACCGTTACCAAATGACCACATCTGAATGACAAAATTACTCTCTTTTTTTTCTTCTTCTTCTTTATTTAAGCGTTTTCACATGTTACACTCACCGAGATATAATTTTCTTTTTGTTCCGGCAGGTGATGGTAGAGCCGTAAATGCTACACTTTCCAACATTGTTACTGAGTGCTGTTAATTAATGCGCTGTAGGTGATGACACATTGGCGACTCTAAAACCAGTTCAGGTGCTGCCTTCAGGTTTTAATGCGGACAGTCAGATGGCACGGAGTCACAGTGGATTTACTCCAGGCCATCTGTGGTTGCAGCTTTATCACCAACAATGATCTAACAGTTTGCGAGCGTCATAGCTTTTTTTTTCTTTTTTTTTTTTCGTCGTGACAGCACCATTGTAACAAGTTTCTAATTTGGACTTTATCATATTGTTATTCATGTGTCATAATCCACAGAATATTTAATACCTCAGCATCAGGACTTAAAGCTGCACTGAGATTTGGAGGAAATAAACATATCAAACCCAAACTGACTGTTACAGTATTTTACTATTTGTCCACATTTAATCTGTGCAGTCACCGAAACACAGAACTGAGGAGGACTCTGCTGTACGCAGGTCAGTGATGGCGTGACATGATTTTTCAAACAGTGACTCCTTTCTGCCATTTGGGGCCGCCACCATGCAAACTTGCCGAGTGCAGCTTGTCTAAATAAAACAGCTGTTTATTGCAGCAGGTGGAGCTGAAGCTGAGGGCAGCTTGCTCCAATAATCAGTCGTTTTATTACAATTTTATCAATGTTGTTACCAAACCTTAACACTACATGACGTCTTTTCTCACTGGAGTGTTAGTGTTGGATTACAGCTTCAAAAACAGTCAGTTTTATGATAGAAGTTCATTGATGCGTGTTTTTGTTTTAATCTTAAAAAAGGAATTGACTTTATCTTGAGGAGGAAAAGAGAATATGAAGCACATAAAGGTTTTTTTAATTACTGTCTTTTGAATAAGCTTAATGTGTTTTTGCTGCTCAGAGAGACGTTAACCTACAGATTTTACTCATTATTTTTATCTTATTTCTGTTTTATTTGAGGAAATTCACTGAACTTCATTGTCAAATTGTGCAAAACCTTCATATGTAACATTGAGGAATGTAAATGTTTCAAAACACACTTTTTTTTTTTCATTCTAAATTTCATAGCTTTTTCCAGTACCAAAACACGTCCAATTTAAAGTATTGTGTGAAAAGATGCCTCCCAGTTTGATATTGTCTTATAAAGTGTTTTTTCACATTTAAATAAAATGTTTCCAGTAAACTGCTGTGGTGTTTTTATTGTAATTGAAGGTACTGAACACGTCCACATACAGGACACCTTGCAGTGTTATATTCATGGGGATAAACTAATAAATATAACCGCTTATCTGAGAATGCAGATTGACCTTTAAGGTGAGGAGAAACCCAAAAACCTCATCCTAACATAGCTCCTGGTGTTCACTCTGTCGTCACGCTGTCAGAGCACATTTATATCCGGAATCCGATAGAAACGCACACGGGCTCTCTCGCTGCTTGACCTCAATGTATCACTTTCCTCTTAACAGCCTGCACTGGAAATCTTGAGGCGGCGAGATGGACGGTTTAACCGTGCAGACTCCGGTTTCAAGGAGTCCTCGGATGTGTGGAGCTGGTTGCTAAGAGGCTCCTGGTTCCATAGCAACAGCAGGAGATTAGTGTGTGACACCATCAACAGGCAACAGGTCGACACATTCAGCCCAACAGCACTGCTGCGAGGTGAGATGGTGTCTGAAAAACAAGGTAAAGTTAACAAGTCGTACGTGCACCAGAGTCTACAGGTATTTCTGGACTGATGTTTTCAGCCTCGTGTGTTTCTGTTGGTGATTCTTGCAGGAGTCCGGCCCAGATTTGGTCCATCAGACAGGTGAAGTAACATCATTTTTTTAATCAGTTTCTTGCTTTTTCAGATGCATCAGTGACTTAACTGATCTTGATAAAGTTTATTGAAGCTGATGATGGTTACTTTTAAGAGTGCCAGAGTCTGCTTCTTTTTTTTTTGCTCATTTGTATTTCACATAGATATTTTTTATCTGATAAGAGTTGAAATCTCAGGTTTAAGTAGATAAACAGCTGAAATAGTTAATTGACTAAAAGCAATATAAGTAAATGGCTGATATATCTGATATAGCTTCTTCCGACAGATCAGGGATCAGGGATCACTGTGAATGCAAACCTGACACCAAAGAAGCCTAAATGTTGAAAATTGAATTGTATCAAACAAATATTGTAACTGTATCCACATTTATATAATCAATGCTCTTAAATAGCATCCAGTTCATAACTGTTCATAACAGGAAGTATCTGTGACAGGTGGTACTTGAACTGTCATATTCCCTATAGTTTTATTATAGTTTTTTATTTATTTCATATAGCATAGTTGCTTATTCACCTCTGATCTGCTCTCATCTTATTTCTACATTAATGTATTGCATTTGTTCATAACTGGGAAAGTGTCACTGTCCACTTATTATATTTCTGTTTCTTTTTTTTTATGTGTGACTATATGTCCACATACCTGCTTGAAGTTAAAGGAAAAGTCTGGTCTCTTTCAGGCAAAGCTGCAAATTTGGAGAAACCATTGTAAAGAAAAATGAATGACTGGCAGATAAACTGTGACAGTTTCATCTTTCAGTTTGATTAGTGGTCAACGGGGAGGTTTAAAACTCAAAACCAACTGTTTAAACTTAAGAGCAGGATCAGGTTTTTCGGCGTTTCAGCTCTGCCAGAAAAAGTAGTCAGAGTGATTGCCCCCCCCGAGGCGCAAAGTGCCTGAAATACACTTGTATTGTGCTGATTTGTGTTTTGTTTGGGGTTTTTTTTGTGAATGTTGTGCTTTTCTTTTTTTTTGGCAGAATCTTGGAGCTGGCGCAGCACAAAACCTCAAAAACTATTTGGGCTACGACTCCGTGGTGAGGAGCTGAGTCATATAAACTTCTCTGACACCACAAGAAGTATCACAACGGCCTTTGTTCAGTGCGTGTTTGGTTTTACAGTTTTTCAGCGTTGCAGGACAACTTCACTTCCAGCTGTTACATCATATGAGATTGCATGTTTGTTCATTGATCCAGTGTGAAACAGACTCCAAGAATCCAATAGCCTGTGCGGTCAATGTTTCCTTTCTATAAAACAATGTAATTAAAGACAGATGTTTGGCACGATCAGAATGAACAGAGGTCACGTCTGATTGAAAGTATGATTGTTTCATTTGGTAATTGCCCACTTGGAAAAATATTTATCCTGCTTCTGCATCAACATCTTCGTAATCGCAGCTGCCTCACTGGAAACTTTCCCTCTTTGTCATTGATCAGTGAGAAGCTGAGCTGGGGCAACCAGGAGCCGATATGGCCCCTGTCCGCATCAGCGCTCAGGGCCAGTCCAAGCGCAAGAATCCAATACCTGGCCGAGCACAAAAGAGACTTCTCAGCAAGGGAGGACCACCGGAGGTAACTGTAGCCTCGTCTGCACCCCGAACATTATTGATGACTCTATCAAAAAGGCATGAGAGCTTGAGAGGGCTGTTTGTGTTCACGCTCGGTTGCAGTGTACACAAGCTTTTACTGTTGTGCTGCATCGACATTATTTGTGGAAATGTTTGCAAAGCTGAAGGGTAATAACTTCCAAAGTCCCTGTGATGATTCAGGAAACTGTAAAGTGATGTTGAGGAGTGGTGCCAGATGCATCCTGGTCAGAGCCGCTCACCCCCCGAGAGCTGTCAGGCTCAATTAACAGAAGGGAAAGACCTGATGGTAGTTACAGCCCCCCGGGCTTTTATTTTGATATTGCTTGTTGCTTCCTGACTCAGCCGTCACATTAAAAGCACACTGACATGCAGTGTAATTCAATCAGAAGCCCACGCAGGAAGTGCAGCTCCCAGAAAAATAATGATAATTTACAGTAATTGACGATGACAGCGATCACCTGCTGGTTGTTCACAGTGTGGAGAAGCTGTGAGGAGAAACTGATCCGGGCTGATGAATACAGTGTGTACAGATGGACTGACTAAATTTAGACTGTGATGAATGTAGTTGCAGGTTCTGTTATGTCTGGAAATTACACTGCTGCTCGACGTCCAATCACATCAGTCTGCAGGCCAGAGGTCGCGTCCATCTCGTTCGTTTCTAATCGACTTATTTAGCAAAACATTTCACTAAAAGACTAAAAGAACAAGGAATCAAATATCATAATATTATTGGTGGAATACCTCAATATCAATAGGGGTGACGGCTGGTGCCTTTATTCAATATAGGACTTATTTTCATTATCAGTTAATCTGCTTTTTTTTCTTCCTTTTTTGGATTAATCACATGGTCTACAGCACCCCAATGGAGAAAATGATCATTATAAAGCTCAAGTGAATGGCTTCACAAACTTTTCTTTGCCTGAGCAGCAGTTGAAAACCCAAAGATTCTCAATTGTCTTTGATATAAAAGAAAATCCTCCCAATTAAGAAACTGGAAATGGTTTCACTTGATTGACAATTAATCAATTATTGAAATATTTGCAGATTAATTTTCTGTGTTAGGCTAATTGACGGAAAATACTAAACAATTTGTGAATTGATAAGCCATTAAAGTCATTCATTAATCAAAGATGAGAAAAGATGCAAAAAGATTATTTTCTGTTTTTCTCTTGTTAAATTGAATCTCTGGGTTTCCAGAGTTTCTAAACTGAAATCAGAACTTTCCACTAAATTCTTGGTCAATTCTTTGTGTTAGTTCGTCTCTAAATACTTTTTTAACTTCCCTACTGAAGACATCAGAGGAAATATCTTTACAAACCGCTCATAAAGTTTTTTTTGTTTTTAAAGTGTCACTAACTTCCTAAAACAGCCACTGTAGTTTTTAGCAAACTTTCCCTTAAACAGGAGGAAGCAGTGCATTTATTGAGGACTATTTTCAGCGGCGGATTAATCCACATTTGCTGTTCCAGTGAGTATTTCTGGCAGCAGCGACAGTGCGTGTGGGACTGAGTCAAAATAAACTACAGTGTGTGTGTTCATGTTGATGGAGGAACATGTCAACAGTGCAACAGTGTGAGTCACTGGACCTCTATGGCTCAGAGGAGTAAGACATATCAGGCTTTAGATACACACAGTACCTGTTCATAGGATCAATTCAGCTTTTAATGAGTTTTTATGGACAAAACAGAACTCATCCTTTTACACTTTGTACAAGGATTTTGCAGAGATGACTCATCACTACTTACATTTTTGCTTTAAGGACAAAAACTGAATCAGAGTGAGTTTGTCAGCAGGAAACAACCCACAATCTCAATTAAGTGTTTAACAAAATTTTAATGTTTTCGCTGGTGCAGAGGATGTTCCACTCATACCTCCGTCATCAGCTGAGCTCTGACACTTATCCATTGTTCTGTACCCCACTCCTCCTCCTCCTCCCTTCTGACTGGAGACATTGTTTTGTCCCAGACTCACAACAGAACACACCATAATGGACATGGTAATAGCTTCCATTTTCCTGCAGGAAGCAGGAGGAGGCGAGCTTCTTCAGGAAGACCCAGCGTCCTTCCTCCAAGACGTCCCAGTATGAGGACATTGTCCGCCTGTCGACACCCAAAACCAGGAGCCGCAGCTCCCAGGAAGCAGGGTAAACGCCCCGTTAGTCATCAACACTCAACCAGGGAAGTTCAGTTAAACTGAGACAAACCAACCGAACCAAAGTCAAAGTTACTGAAGAACTGACTTTGTGATTTTCAGGCTATAAGATGTAGAAACTGACATATAAATTTAAACTGAGCTAAATCTGGTTGATAAGTGAAAAATTTTAGACATTCAAAATAACATATACGCAGTGATAAAGTCATTGAAACTCTCATAAATCAACAGTTACATGCAACTTAAACATCTAAACAAACTTCCACTTTTTAACCAAATTTCATCTAGTTTTAACCTGGATGTGTATCCATGTATTGCAAATCACTGAAACGATGCTTTCTAGGAAGGTCTTTTTACATTACATGCACCTTCTGGCACCATATGGTAGATCTGTTGGTCATAAACGACAAAACAGAAACTTCACCTGGTGACGATGCTGGATGAAAAGTCAGGAGATCACTGAGATAATAACTAATAATCGCTGTCATAAATGATCCAGTGTCTGTAACCCACGAGTGTCAGTACAGTCACTTCACTAGTGTAAACCCACTGTGTACTTCAGTAGATATGGTCAGTGTGTCCGGGCTATTGACATTCTCGCCACTGATAGTTCTGATAGTGAGG